GTAGTGTGGAAAAGTACGGTTTATTTTAGAAAGGCTAGAGACATGGGACAAAAGGCATTAGATAGCGTTTTGGGAGTAGGGTCCAAGAAAAAGCAAGATTTTAGCCAACATAATATTAAAATTTTCTAATATTTTTATAATTTTTTCTTTGATTTCATTTTAGTTTCAATTTTTTTTTTGAAATAAATTAAAAACTTCAATTCAAATTTCTAATACTATTTTATTTTAATTTCTATTGAACAAGCACGTTAATGATGCCCCAAAATTAGAAATATCAAAAAAAAAAATAAATAAATTCGAATATAAAAACTTTATATCATGTCACATTTATTTTATGCATTAGATATATTGATCAGATCTTTTACCTTTGTACCATTATAAAATATATATGTATATGTATATGTAATATTTGCTTACCGTTATTATAAATGCATAAAATAATAGAAAAATAAAAGCTTTCAAAAGCACTAATTTACTATAATCATAGTTTACAGACAATGTGTTTTGTTTTTTTTATGTTTGACCTATTCTGATAAACATAAGATTAAGACGAATAGGTAACAGAAAATATATATACAATATTATTAAAAGTTTTCTTTTTCTATTCACTATTATACTTTGTCATATTCACACATAAAGTAATTTATTCATACAAAAAAATTTTTTATGTTTATACACAAAAATATGTATGATATACAGAAATACATTAAAAATTTAGGTATTGCTTTCATACATCATTTCTTAAATAATATATTTAATAACATAATTATTTATTAATTAGACCAAGTTCTTGTAAGTTAATATAATTATTTTAATAATATTTTATAGTTATCAATACTAAATTAATCATACATTAGATGCAACTAATACAATTTATGTACAAATTAGATTATTAATTCACAATTTCATGCGCAGCAATCATACATTAATAATTGTTGGGTATGATATATTTTGGAAAAATTAAATGCAGTTAGTTTGTAGGTTTGCTGTTAGATTGTAAATTGTATATACGGGCACATGTCAAAGTGTTGCAAGTTAATTGGAATTGGGAATAGTAATTTTGTATAATATAAAAATAAAAAGCTTACAATAAAATAAGAATAATAAGAAAAGAAAAAGAATAAGTAAATGTTAGAAAATTTTACTTTCAATTTCTTTATATGTACAATCGTATACAAGTATACAACATGCAATTTAAGAAATTTTTGCAACTTCTTGATAATTTCTTGTATATACCTACTAAAGAAAACAAAATTGCAATTAAATTTTTTATTTTTGCTCTTTAATTGCACGTTTATGTCATTTCTTATTTTTTATTTAGATTTTTATTAGATGAAAACGTGCGTACATTTATAAACTCGTGTCAAAGTTTATATAGGGTAATTTAAATTTTGTAAATTTGATTGAACAAAGTATTAAATGTAAGTATCATGTCATTTTATAAAATATAGATGGCGCTATTTACACATGTCATATCTTATTATTTTGTAAACAAAAATAGACTTATTGCGGATCCATTTAAAATTTCAATTTTAAAATGAGAACAGTAAACAGGAAATTTATTAAAATATAAAAATTTAATATGGAATTATAAACTTTAAAATGTATTAATAATAAATAATTTAATATGCATATAAGATTAACATATGTGAGAAGCTGCTTAAACACAATCAGATTTGTTTATTATGGAATAAGATGAGTTTCATTCAATAAAAATTCTGAAATAAGAAAGCATCAATGAAATTCTGTAATGAGGAGCGGGAATGTTTGATAGGCAATAATAAAGTATGGACCAGTATTTTAAGTATTTTTAAGATCATAAAGAATACAAAGGCAACGAAAATGAATAACAATTTTACAAAAGGAGCAATTTTATTAAAACAAGATTTTTAGACTGGAGCTTATTTGCAATTTATATGGCGAAAATTTATGTGAAACGACAGCTGATCTCAAAGAGGTTGTTAAATAAAAGAAAAACTTACTTAATCATCAAAGAGGAAAATGGAAAAAAGTTTGCTTAAGAAACTTTTTAAGCAGAAGGACTGCAGGTAATTAAAATCAACGGTATTTGGTAATGAACAAATTGGTTTCCATCAAAAATTGGTAATGGTAAAAAATTGATATAACACTTCATTTCTTTATTTTCTTATTGCAATTTAATATTTTCATATTATAAAATTCATAATTTTCATATTGTAGTTGTACTACGAGTACTATCTCATTTTGAAAATTTATATCAGCAAATTATTATTAGAATTGCAATATTGGGGCATATAAATAAAATAGTATATTTTTGGCATAGTATATCTTTGGCATTTACAAAGTAATATGAAACTTAGCAATAATATGCAGACTATCTTTCAAAAAATAAACCCCATAGTATAATTTATCGACATTAAAAACAATAACAAATCAAGATTTTTAATTATTATAGGTACTCCATTTTTTTTTCTCTAAAAATTTAATAATTCAGTTTAAACAAACTTAATAACTTAATTTCTTAAAAAAAATGATTTTAAATATTGTTGCTCCTATAGTTAAAAATTAAGATGTTATTCAAGAAATATTTAAAATTTGAAAAAAAAAATGTGTGGGTCTGATTGAGATACAATATATTGTAATATTATATTGTAATATATTACAATATCTGATGTATTGTGTGATTTGTACATATTTTTACACCTATTTAAATTTATGTATATAAATATTATAATTTAAAATGGAATTATATGGAATTTATAGGGCAAAAACCAAAATTAAAATCAAAATCAAATTAAATTGAAAAAATTGTCAAGGTTATACATAATATAATATAGATAACACTGTAGGTAACACATTAATTTTGTGGCTATTTAAAGAATAAAATAAATTTTATTTAAATTTATAGATGGTATTTTAAGAATAATAAATTATAAATTAAAATTTTTGACAAAAAAAAACGTTAATTGTACCTAAATTTTTAATATCTTTATTAATAAAAGGTTGCAAGACAGATGTTGTTAGAAATAAGAAATCTAATTTTTTGAAAAATTAATTGATATTCAAAATCAATCTGGAAATTAGTTAATTTTAGGATTTTCTGAATATTTATAGTGTCTTAAAATCAGTAGGAGAGCAACTTAAATATTTAGTTAGCAATGTCACACGTCCATATATATATTTATTAAGAAATAAGTTTATTATTCGTCTTACAAATCCCTATATACTTCGGTAAAAAGAAATTTTTGATAGTTTCCCCTGTCCCCTGTCCAATAGACCTTTTCTAATACCTTTTCCCTTAAAATTTTTTATTTCAACCACAATCAATTTTAGAGCATGCTCGGAACTGATATTAAAATTTTATTAATTTCAAAAAGTCATATGAGTTTTCTTAACTTAAAGACCTCTAAAAATTTAACATGCATATTTAATATTAATGTTGGCTACAATAAGTCAAAAATGGCTGCGGTGGCTTGGGAGGATGCTCCTGTCCCACTCGGTTCCCCTTAATTTTAATGTAATACATATTATGTTATAATAATATATTTTAGACAATATTTTTGAGATCCCAGACACGTAATAATTAAGCAAGAATGTGTGGAATATCAAAATTACAGTGAATATTATGAAAATACAGTGAATATGAGTTAAAGTGAAATCTTAATACAATGGACAACAAAGAATTTCAATAAAATATAATTGCATTTTTATGTACGCTAAATAGGGATTAATACTGTTCATAGTATTTATTATATAAAGATTCCTCTATACATATTTCATTTTAAAACTATATTTTATCATTATTTCCATGAATTTAACCCAATTAAAAATGCAAAGATTGTTGCTTATTGTATCGAATAATTTAAATAACTGATATAAGTTAAATTATTGTTTAATTTTAAACATACCATGCAATTATTATTGTGGTACAAATTAAATAACTTATGGTTGTAAGTAAATGTTAATTTTGTTATAGTACATATGTATACATACGAGTACTAGATGCTACAAAAGATTTTTAATAAATTATGCTTTAATTCAAATTTATTTATAAAAATGTATGCATTAACTTACATATGTTTACAGTTCTCCCACACAATTATTTTTTTAAATCCAATTGAAATAATCTCATATTTATATAAAAAATTTCATAAGAAAAAAGGCAACAGAAATTGTATTTTTCTATACAAATATTAGATTAAAAATAAAAACCTTTTATAATAATTTGTTGCCAATTTAACTTAGACAAAATGATGAATAAAATTTTAAAAATTAAGTCAGATATGAAATAAATAAGCATGCCATATAAAAATAAATTATATACATACTTTTAAAATATGATGTCGCCTTTTAATAATTATAGTAGATAAAGATTATGATGAAGTATTCAGTGATAAGAAGTATAAAATGGAAAGAATAAAAAAAAAATTGTAATGTGAAATTATTGGAAATTTCCTATTTTTATCAAGCACATGTAAAATATAAAGGAACTATGGATTTTAAATTTGTGTAACCCAAATTTAATGATTATATTGATTAATCTTATAAGTTACCTACTAATTTCGTAATTTACATTCCATATTAAGAATTATTTTAAAATTAAATATGAAATATTCTACGTATTTATAATAAATGATTTAATATTTTCAAAATTGGAAAAAATTAATCTGTTCTAAGCAAAAATTTTGAGTTTGATATTACATAAAATTCATATTTAATTGCCCTAATTAAATTATTATAAATAAATAATTGGTGAATTTTAAGAGTTCATTTCAATGCTCTAAATATTCTAAATATTTCAATGCCCTAAAATCGTTCATTAGAAAAAAATCTCTTTAAACCGGTTTTGTTTCAATTAATTAACATATTCCAATAATTTTTAAATAACAATTTTTATTTATGTTCAAAGTTAATTTTAATATAAATTTATTATAAATTGAAAAGAATTCTAAATCATCTACATATGTATATAATTTTTAAAAATTCAACAATATTTAATTTTAAAAACAATCAACAATGTTTTATAGAACTTTTAATAGTGTATCAAATTCTGGCCATGTTGATAATTTTTTAAATAATGCATCACCTTCTAAATGTGATATTGTTAAATTTCTAACACCATATATTTGAAAAGGATCATCTAATCTTTTCAATCTTTTCGTTTCATTTATTAAAGAAGATGCACTTCTTAATTGATTTTCTGATGGTGATTTCACAGTATAATTTCCTAAAATATTAATAATAATAAAATATAATAATTATAATAAAAATTATTTGGTTTTATATAACAATGGATCTATGTGTGTATCAATGTATACCTATAAATCCAATTACCAATGATGTTTCTTTTGGTACAAATTTAAATCCATTCATATATTTCCAACCTCTAATCTCATAAGTTTGACCATCACTTCCAATTAAAAAATTATATGGAATTTCACTATTTCTTAGTAAATTTTCTGTTTCCTATATATTTAAATTATAAATTAAATTATCACAATTATAAATATGTATTGTAAATGAAATAATTAAATTTTAAATACTTAAAATGAAAACTTACTTGCATTTTGCGTAAAAGATTAATGCAACTTTCTGTATCAAAACATTCAATACTGCCTGTTTGTAAAAAAAGTATATTTGAAATTTTTGATTTGCCTAATGATGTAAAACCAATATGTGTTGGAATTTTATTCCATACTTCTCGGCTAACTAAATCTAAAGCATAACCATTTGGTATACGAGCTGTGTATAGTGTTAGTAAAAAAATTTGTTCTTAGTATAATTATAATCAAATTTTGATATTAATTCATACGATCTCTATATCTTAGATAAAATAGAGAACATTCCATAATAAAATAAAAAAACACATTTCATATACATAAAAAATGGGACACTACTGCAGTAATGAAAAATAATTTTTTATAAAAATTTTTGCATGGGAACCAATTAAGAGTCTCTTAAATTTTTTTCATTTATATATTGTTTTATTTGCAAAAATTGCATACTACATATTCAATTATGTGAGCTCATATATTTGCTTCTAAATTTCGACTGTTATATTACTAATTATACGTTCAATTATATTTCCAAAGCTGTAATCGACGTTGAATAAACGATATGATCAAGAGATTTCACATCTTCTCACAGAAAATAACTTTGAGGCGACAAATTCAGTGGCCGAACAAATTAGCGGATCTTAATAAACTTAATAATTTATTGCCCACTATATTAGATGCTTAATTGATATTTATTAAATACGTACATGGTCTTCAATATATCTATGGTTAAACGGTAAGTCAAATTGCAAACAGTGCAATTTGACTTACCGTTTAACCATACAAATAAACCGACAATGACTAAAACAAATCACATGCGTATTTACTTAATTCACCCTTACTTATAAATGAAATGTGTTCTCTTAAATTAATTATTTTATTCTAAATAAATGAACTTACTCTCAACAGCTAACAAATATAATGCAATACCGCAACCACAGGCTAATATTAAACCAATTGCAAATAATTTTGCATTAAAAATTTCATGAACTGGAAATTTTTTATATGGTAAATTTTTATTTTCACCATTATTTGTTATTTCACTAGCTGAATCACTACTTTTAATTGATGGTGATTTTGTTGATAATGAAGAACGATGATTCTTTCCCAATAGCAATGGTGTATTTTCTTTAGCTTCACCAAATTTTTGTAATGAATCAATTTCAATATAACAACTTTTCGATTTACCTAATGATGAATTTAAAATTGGTACATTAATTGAATTTCTAAAATGCATTATTTTAATAATAAATGATATTTTTAAAATAATATTCCATGTTAAATTTATTATTATGGTAGCACAATAGCATAATGTTTCAATAATATAAGAATTTATTGTTGGATTTTTAATCCAAAAATTTATTAAATTATCAGCAAATTTTGTATTTAATAGAATTAACATGATTTTATAATTAATTTTTTAATTAATTTTATTTTAATTTTAGATAAATTTTAATGGGTTTTAAATAAATAATTTAAAAATAATTTTCCTTTGAAAGATTTTCATAATAATGCGATATCAGACATATTATACATGAGTACAAACAAAGTCTTTGATTGATAAGAAAAATTTTATCTTATGTAAAAGATTAATGATGAAGATAAAAAATTTAGTTCAGATAAAGATTACTCATGTACCAAAATACACAATATAAGCACAAATTTATTTATTTATGGAATTTTATTTATATTTTGGGCTTTCTTATTAAAAAAGATTTTCATTTAAAAATATCTATAATTTTTAATTATATTTTGGCTGCTATTCTAATTCAATTTACATTGTTTATATTAAATTTTTCAACAGTTTCATGAGCATTATTCCATAACAGGTCATAATCACAAGACGAATCAGAACAACTAAAATCTGTTTTGATAATTAATAATAAGTCATATTAATATTTTCTTAAAATTTTTAAAATTTTGTAAAAAAAGAACTTGAATCTTAAATTTTTGCGTTCAATTAAGAGCATATTAACATTCTAAACTTATATATACTCCAGTTGTATAACACACTCTAAGCTTATTTGTCTATGAGGAATGGAATAGTTGAGAGTAGTGATCAAACACATTTATTGCGACACATATCGCAGAATTATCCAGAGTCACAATTTCTAAATTGTTCCGAAGAGCAAATTAAAGGTACCTAAATAAATTTAATTTGTATTCAAATTCTCTAAGATATTGCTTATAATTTTTTTTTTTTGAAATAGAAATGGACATAGAATAGTCCTGCACTAAACAGGCGATATAACTTTGTTTATTTATTTCGGAAATATCAAAATCATATTGAATTTCAATAGAAAACGGAGTTCTTCTTTTATTGAAAAGTATTATATTCTTTTACAAGAATATAACACTCTAGAGAAACTAGAGGTATAGTTTGTACGTATATATATGGAACTCTGTTTTGCAAGGAAATTCTGAAAATTTTAATATTCAAAATTTTACATTTATTTCCTAAATATAAATCTGTTAAGAAAATATAAATCTAAATAAATGTGTATAACTACTCTTTGTAAATAATACTCTGGGCTACTCCTTTGTAAATGATAGGCTGGTATGCATTTGGGTGTTGGGCTAGTGTATTTGAAATAGACCTAGAGTGTTATATGAGTGCTAGAATATTGTTAGAATAAATAAAAATTACTTTAAATCTAGGAACTATAACAAATTCAGAACATTTAAAATAATCTAAGCTTTGAAATTTAATTTAATTTCTATAATCTCGGCCATTTATTAAAATTCAATTACTTATAAAAATATGAAAATATTTACAAACAATAATTATGAGTACATAAATGTAACAAAATTACACTTAAATTGTATAATGTAAAATTTTGTAAATAGTAAAGTTATTCCACTTTTCATAAAAAAGAATGACGACGTGTTTTTATAAATAAAGAAAATAAATTAAAAAATACAATTGAATTTTGCTATAGAAAATTATTAAGTAAACAAGAAAAAATTCCAGGAATTGTTTTCCTTTTTATTTTTTATTTCTATTTACTTTTGTGGTACACTGAAAACCTCGTGAATTTTTGTTTACATCTTACAATATATGGATATTTGGGTCAAAGATCATAGTATTGGAAATGATTTTTTTTTTTTTTGCGTATAAAATCAAAATCAAAATAATTATAGTAAAATATTTGGATTATTTCATTGTTCTTTTAAGTAATAATAATATTAAGAATTCAATTGGAAAATTTAATACAGAACCAAAAAATTTCCACATTACTAATTGAATTCCTTAAATCTACGCGTGAATTAATAACACATTAATCATATAAAATTGCAAATTATTATTTCTAAATTAAGTTTTCTCTTACTTTTATTAAAATAAATATAAAAAAATTTTATTAATTAAAATATTTTATTTCAGATTAATAATTCCAGTTATTATAATTAAAGATCAAGAATTAAGTCAAATAAATACTGAATCATTTCCAAATAGTGCGAATTTAAATGACGGATGCATTTCAATAGTGTTTACTGGATGCTTAATAACTAATTAATAACAGTAATTTACTAAGATAAATTGGTAACTTAAAAATTTTATTATTAACGTGATTTATTTTTTTTAGGTGGAAGTAAAAACCCTCACATATACTAATTTCATTGACCATTGACCAAAAAAATTTCTGTTCGATTATAATACAAAATTTGTTTAATTACTTTGATATCAGTAATGCCGTTAATCAATGCTCTAAAATATTTATAAGCATCTTTTTTACAATTGTCTAAACAAAACCTTTTTAAAATGCTATTATGTACAATGTTATTTCATAAATTAATTAAAATTTCTCATATTTTCATAAATTTAATTAAAAACAAATTACAAATAAAACCCTATAGTATTTTAGAAGTTGAGATTTAAAAATTATAATAGGATGTATTAATTATTTGCCTTGACAATGATCTCGAACATGATCATCAAAATTAATTATATTTGAAAAATTAATTTAGAATTTGTTCTAAATCTCAATAATTTATTTTAAAATAATTGAATAATTTTGAATTAAAAGAGATTGAAATTTTAGTCTGAATTATACTTAAGCAAATTATTCTTGAACTAGTACTAATATAAATTAAAAATTATTATTTATTTCAGAACAAAAATGTATTCATTTTAAATAAAATGTGAATTATTTTTTTTAGCAAAATTCTAATTCAACATACTATATTTATGCATATTATGTGTGGTTATTATAATATTTTAAAAACCAATGAACTACCGGTCTATAAAATAACAAAAGATAAGAAAAGAGGGGATACCGTGTAAATACCGACAAAAAAAAATGCTTTACTAAAGTAAATAAAATTTATTCTATCTACACGAGATACAATATACTTTAAAATATAATAAAGTCGTTCTTATATTAATTATCAACTATTTATACAAAAAAAAAAAAACAAACAAACAAATGCTATAAAATATAATCATAATTACAATTTTATATTATCAAAGAGTAATTAAATGAAAGTCAAATATTTGTTTTACAAAATAATTGATAAAAATATGAAATTTTTACTACTTTTAAAATGAAATTTCTTCTTTATTGCTAAAAATATATTGAAGAATAGAACCTTAATTCATTTATATAAATATTTTAATTTTATATAATAAATTCATTGAATATTATTGCAAATTAATAGAGCTATGATAAATTTTAATTAAATTATATATACTTTACCTTCCATTTTCATATATTCCACTCAGAAAATATTTTTGTTTTTAACCAAAAAGGAAAATTGGTTTTAGTTTGGTAACAATTCCAAATTATTCCAACTTTAGATTTGAATTTATTGAAATTATTTTGAATTTTTATATTTACTAAGCCCTTTTATTTTAGAAGTGGCTGGCCAAAACTTCCTCAAAATAATTCTGAAACTTATCCCATCAATAGTTAAATGGTTGTGTTTATATTTTTCTCCTTCACATTTAATGCTTTGGTTATTCTTCTTCTCTACCTCTTTCTCTTATTATATTTTACTTTAAATTGCAAGTAAGTAATAAAATTTTTTTTTTTTAATATTTTCACTCTCTAATTAAAATATAATTATGATTTGGAAAAATTTTCGATATAAAATTGCACATTATTTTATTACTGCTTTTTGGTATAGCAGTATTTTTATAACACATTTATATAAAATAATAAAAAACCAAATCAAAAATTATTATATTGTATATGAGTATATTTTTTATAATAAAACAAATTGTAATTGCATTCCTTTAAATTTTTGAAATGATCAGTTAAAAATATTAAAATTAACTAAAATATATTAGATTGTAAATGAAGAATTTAAAGAAAATAATTATCAGTTTTTTTTCTTGTGTTCATAGATTTTGTATGTAGGTGGGATAGAATTAAATCTATAAATAATGGGAATATTGTATTTAACTATATTTTTATATGCAGTTGTGTTAGGCGGTAAGAAAAATTTTTTTAGAATTTTTTATTTTTTTGTAATGTATAAAAGAAAATTATCAAAATTTTTACTACTAGTCAGAGGTATAACAAATTTGACTACATACTTTGAATTTTTTGAGTGTTATTTTCACAACTTAGGTTATAAGTTTTAAATGAAAATGTTGAATTATGTGGAACCAAGGTAAGTACTGCATTATTGATATCATAATTTGTCGGCTTATTTGGCTATAATGAAATTACTTTTATTAAAACAAATATGTATGTACCTACTTAGGATCACCTCGTTGCTTTTAGAAAATACTATTGGTTTATACCTACATTAATACTTATTTCACAGACGTTTCACTTAAAATTATTTGGGATAATTATTCAAAGACTGTGCAGTTTTCCTAATAAAATCAATTTGACATTTTAACAGATGCTTCTAATAGAATATTGATGATAATTTTAAATTTTTATCCGATATTATTCAATATTTGTTATTTATAATTATTTTACGCATTTTATAAATAAATATAATATAATATTCCCCTCTATTATGTATATCGGTATCGGCCGATAAACGATAATTTATCGGCAAAATTTTGTGTTTGTATTACCAACATTGTTTATCGGTAAATTTTATCGGAGTCGGGAAAGCTTTTTTTCACTGTATAGAAAACGTATTAGCTGGTATTATGAAAACGATAAATTGTCGGGTTTTCCCCGATTTAAAAGCGGGTACAAATTTTTAAACGACAGATTTTTTTTTTTTTGTAAAATCTTCATTTTATCAAGGAAACTGGTGTAATTGATTGCTTTTTTTAAAATGTAAGCATTTTTTCTAAATTATTTTCTTTCAAAATGTTATTCATATATTTTATTTAGGAGTAAAATCGTAAGCAACAAAAAACAAATTGCGCGGTTAGTAGAAAAAATGGAAGAGGACTTAAACCTGGCAAGGAATGATAATCTGAAATTCTGGATAAACCTAAAAAATGTGTACATATTATATATGTAAATAATAAAATAAAATAGGTACATAAACATACATTTTGTTGTCTAAATCCAATGGATTAGTTGAATCTCTTATATGTCGTCTTTGAATAGCTTGCGTTTCTTCACTTACTACCGTTTCTTCACTTTCAAAATATAATGCACGCGACATTTTCCCGATATATGTATATTTTTATTTTACAAATTTAACAGAAAATAATTTGCTTACAACAACTTTTTAGCACATCAAAACCAAATTCAAAATAGTTTTAAAAATTTTTTGAAAATAACTTTTGAAAGAAAACAAATGTCATTAGAAAAAAAAAAAACTTTTTCTCCAATTTACAAAAACAAAAATTTGTATGAAAAAGCTTCTTTTAATCGGTTGAAATATTTTTATCGGTATCGGTTCATAATACAGAAGAAACTTAAAACCGATTAGAACTGCCGATAATATATCGGCCGATACCGATGTTCATAATAGAGGGGATTATATATATTTTGATAGACCTTCTATTAAATTCATGTTACGCTATAGGTTCGACCATATTTTTTGAAATTGTTTTAATAATTGTTTACCTAAAATTTGGTTAAAGCAGTAGTCATTTCATTTTAATATTATTAAAAATATCAACTTCTAATTCATTCAAATGCTTGTATTGTAATTTTTTATAGCAATTAGGCCATGCACTAAAAATTGTTTTGGAAACGGTTAATTAAATTAATAATTTTAGAATTAGAATTGAAATTCAATATTTTAGGAATGAACTAATTAGTTTATTTAAAATTCTAATTATTAAAATTTTTTATTTTAAGAATTTTTTTTTAATTATCAAATTTATGTTCTATCTAAAAATTAATCTGTAATTTTTGAAATATTTTAATACTTGATTCACTTTTGCAGTTATTAATTACTTGATTCATTCAATGCAAAAGTTATTTTAAAAATTATAAAAATTAATGTTAGAAATTGTAAAATATGGTGAGAAATAGAAATGTGAAATATATTTAGTAAAAAAAGTTAGAAGTTAATTTTGTATTAACTTTCTAAACTTACAAAACATTCTTCTAGTAATGTAGTTTTCATTATTTGTTAAAATTTAAAAATTACAGTAAATTGTTTAGATTTTTATTAATAATTTATTTTTTGAAGAATATAAGTGAATAAAGGAATATTATTCTTAATTCTTTTTAAGTACAATACTTTTTTATTATTATGATTTATATTCATCTATTTTTTTTTTTTTTGTAACTGATAGTGTAGCATAATTTCATTATTTATAAATGATAAATTTTTAAATTAAACTATATTTTTGCCCAAAATAACTTTATTTATTTTATCTACATTTTATTGATTCAACAATTATAATTAACTGTATCTTAAATTTTTTCATTATTAAAAAAAATTTTTATAATTTTCCTTTTTTAAAGTGAGTCAGTACAATTTTCTTTTTTTTTTTATCTTACATATTATCAAAATATATTACAGATTTATTTTTCTCTTTTTGCTGGATTTGTGCTTTAAGAAAATGAAAAAAAAAAAAGAAAAAGAAATGCTAAATCTAATATTTTTAAAATATTTTTTTAAATAACATTTGTTTTCATATAATGTCATCAAAACAAAAAAGCCCAAAAATGGTAATATAGGATAGTTAGTAAAATCTTATAAAATACATTGAAGTGTAAGTAGAAAAATCACACTCACATTTTTATAGAAAAATCAAAGACAATTAAATAGACTATAAAATAAAATGCAGTCTATTAAAATATTGTCTTCAATTTTTCTGAAATGATTAAAAAAAAAAAAATAAATAAATGAATTAATTGGAAAAAATAAGAAATGGATAAAATTAAATATTTTTAAAAATTATTTTGGGAACTGATAAATTTATTTTTACAAAAAAAAAAAGCACTAAAATTATATTAAACTGCAGAATTTACAGCTTAATAATCTAATATCCACTACTAAAAAAAACTCAGTCCTTTCTTTACTGGAATTGTTCTCTTTTAGACATAATCGTCAAGGATAATGCAAAAAAAAAAAAAAAAAAAAAAAATTGAAAAAATTTTTTTTTCTTTTTTTTAATTTAATTCCCCTACTAAAATATTTTTTCTATATTGTTTCTGTTTTTTTTACTTTTAATATTTATAAATTTTTTTCTTTTCCATATTTAAAACTTAATTCTTTTTACACAATTTAATTTCTGAAAAGTAACGAATTTGTTTTAAATTATTTTTTTAAATTTCATTTTTCTTTTTCTTGTTAAATTATTAATTAAATAAAAACAAAAACTACTACTTGTAGGCCTTATAAATTTGCCATGCACAAAATGCTGATGCTATTAACGTTACACCACGATGAAAATATTTTGCCTTTTTATTCTCTTTTAATGCTAGAACTACTGGTGATGAAAATTCACTTAATTTTGGTACATTCGCTAGTTTTTTTGGATCTTTTTCCACCTAAAAATATCAAAAAAAAAAAAAAGTTAACCAGTTCAGTTAAAAAATGGTATTCTTCATTATAATAATAATCTACACGTAAATACAATATCTGTACTTAAAAATACATATCTATTATCAAAAAAGTATGAAAAAGTTTTAATAGTGACTAACGAAATCAAAATTTAACAACGCAAAAAATATAAAAATTATTAAATTATTTATTTTTCTAACATTTGGATAAATTTCAAAACAAGATTATTGCGATCATTTTAACTTATTTGAACAAGGTCCAATTCTTTTATCACTTTTTAAATAGGAAAAATGCAAATTAAGATATACATTTAATGACTAAAAAAAAAGGTTAAAAAACAAAACAAAATGCATCATACATTTATCTAACATCAAAGGTGTTACATAAAAATCAATTTTCTATTATCTATTATCTTAAAAGCTTTCTTTTGCATATGTAATGAACATCTTTACAATATTATATTACGTATTTAAAAAGCATGATTTAACATATTTTACTTAACTTACTTGATATTGGCAGCATGGATCTGATATCCAAGAAACTGCATATAAACCAGTACAAAATATTGAAACAGCGCACAATGGCGCAGAAAAAACTGGCCTATCTTGCCATATTAATCCTGATACAACAGAGGACAGGCCTAAAATAAATTATACATATTTGTAAATAACTTAAATAACTGTAATTATTTAAAGGTATCAAATAATTATTTTTTACCAGATAACACAGCCGTTTTATATAAACAATTTCCAACAGTTATCCATCGTCCAGTTTCATCTCCTAAACGTGTTGGTTCAATTATTATATAATCTACTTTAGCTTCCAAAGCTTTATCTAATTCTGCTTCAAAACTCTCGTGTGCATTTCCACTATCGTATACTTCACGGATGACATGTATTGTTGGAGACTTTACCTCACTGAAATAACAAATTTAATTACATATATTTTTTTTTTATTTTGAATAAGAAATAATTTTAATTTCTTATTGTCATTTCTTTTATTAATATTAACAATACATACATTTAACATTTTTTTTTATTTTTTTATTAATATTTGGTATATACGTAATGTGACAAAAATAAATTCTTTTATTAAGTTGCATTTATACACGCATAAATGTTTGTATGTACATACATAAGCTATCTATATTATGTATACAATTTTTTTTTTTAATTTTAATAACTTATAAAAAATATATAGTATGAGACAATAATTTTTCTGAACTAAGTTCAAGGTTAAAAAACTATGTTACATATGTTTAAAAATAATTTTTGAGTGATATTATAAAATTCTTTGAATTGTTAAAGTTTAATGCAAATAATTTTTGATTTGAAGAATTTGAATTTTATAAATTTTATTTAAAAAAAGTTTTTTTTTAATTCATAAATATAAACGTACCTGTCATCCGGATTCATTTTTGTAGCTGAATGACAGTTACTTTTGGTTTCAAGGCGCCAATGCCAATCAGCTGTTAACAGTAAATTACATTGTTATGCGGTTAATTGGGAATCTTTTAACATGAAATGTCTCCTACGTTTACATCTTAAATAAAACAGATTATATCACAATCGTTCTAATGGTTTTTGAAGATTTTGACAAGCAAACTAATTTTTGATTCTTTAATAAACGCATGTGACTCTTAACCGCAACTGTGTTTTGAATGTTTCGTTGGAAGAATGCATTTTACCCAATTTATTTACCTAAGATGATTACAAATTAAACATGAAGATGTTGACAATGTTATAAAGCAATCCTTATTTAAAAAACAAAACTATCACCCAACTATTTTAAGTTTATCAACTTTAACAATATTTTAAGTTTTTCAACTTTAAAAATAAAAGAAAATACATTAAATAAATACGAAACTAACACAAAAAAAGTAAAAAGAAGAGAATATTAGAGTCGACTTATATGCAATTTAGGTTTTTCAAAAAAATTTATGAAATTTACACTCAATAATTTCATCAAATTGCTGTCATATAAAAGAATTTCAGAACATTTAATACATACCCTTTCATGAGATTGAATTAAATATTAACTAATTCAACTTAGAAAATAGGTTTTGTGGAGTTGGTGGTTTTTTTTTTTTTTTTACTTAAACTGTTATTTAATTTTTTGACATACCGTATTAATTTAAAAATAAATTTTGACGTTGTCAAAAAATAACTTGATTATTAAGTTGTTCTAAAGTTTATTATAATATATTAAAATTATTGATATTATAATATATTAAATTATAGAGTTATTTTTTAATTTTTGTCCTGTGAATCGAATTTGTGCAAAAAGTGTTTAACAATCCAAAAAATTCTACAGATTAAATGATATCGAAAAAAAATCGTATTTTTTAAAATTTATATCGAAACTATATTCAATATGTCATGTTTGATTTGGGATATCCTCAAAAAGTGACATCTACAGCTCCGTAAATATAATAGTCTCTTTTTTAAAAATGTCAGATCTTTAGTAAAAGAAGAAGTTAACTTGATGTTTGATCACAAAAATTAAACAAAGCAATTTTATATTAAGTTTTAAATGCATTAATATTTAAAATGGAAATTCCTTTAATAGAATTTGTACAAAATAACAGTTTTTTATATGATGCAAGGCACGAACATTACCGAAACACAATGATAAAAGATGAAAAATGGTTAGAGATATCAAAAGAATTTGATATGCCTGGTAGATTATTTCCGCAATAGAAAATTTTGTACTTACATATTTAAAAAACGTTTGTTATTTTAGTCGAAAAAGTAAAACAACGATGGAAAAGTCTACGAGATTCTTATAATAGATACAAAAAAAAAATAACAAATTCTAGTGGGAGTGTTGAAAGTGGGAAACTGCAAGTAGATTGGAAATACTTTAATAAGTTACGCTTTCTAGATGATATCCCAGAAAGAAGGATCAGGTAATTATAAATGTCATCTTACATGAGATTTCTAACTATTTTTTAATATTGTAGCTCTCAATATATCAAACCAAATTCTTCAAGTGTAACCAAAACTGAAGAGCAGGAAACTTCTCTTGGTTGGGAGGAAGAAGACTCCGATAGTAGTATTAGCTTTTCAGAATCAAAAATGCCATTGATAGAAGAATTTGTACAAAGATTTGAAGCTGGAACTATTCCTGATGAATATCCTGAAGAAAAAACAATGGAAGATACAAGTGATACCTCAGAATTCGAAGTAGAAAAAAATCGGGAAGAAAATGTTGATGTTTTATTTGGCAAAATGTTACTATCTTATATAAAAGATTTATCTCGGGTAAATAATATAAAAGTTAAAAGAGAAATATTTGAGGTATTAACAAAGTATGTTGAAAAAGAAGAACTGAAAAATAATAATTCATATTCTTTGAACGCTACTTGTTAAATAATATTGCAAGTACCCAAGAAAACCTACATTATGTATAGTACTGCTCAGCTACTAATAGAAGAGACATGATAAGCAGAAATATTGTAATAAATCGAAAAATATGTGGGGGTTAACGTTTTTTAATTGATTATTTTTTGATTTATTACCTTAGAAATTGAAGTTAACGTAAAATAAATAAATTATTGGCAATGTTTTAAAAATTAATTAAACATTTTTTCTATTCCAAATTAATTTAAGTCATATTTTGCTCATTAAAAAAGCTACATTGGCATGAGTCAAACCCTGTGAAGAAAATTTTGATTTTGTCTACATGCAGTCTTTAAATTATGAAGTATTATTAAAAAATAAACAAAATATGTTATAAAAATGCAGAGGATCTAAAATAAGGTGCTGTGCTATTTTTATTATCGCTAAGATTATCCAAAAATTCCTTAATTGTTTGTTTACTTTCGTTTTACAATACTTTTACTGCTGCAGTGAAACGTCAAATTGACGTTTTGATAACTAGCGTTCATTTTGCTTTCCAAATAACTGAGGTTTTAAGTCGTGTCGCAATGTCAAGAAGTTTATAAAATAATATTAAATTGAATGAAAGCGTTTAAAGTTGATTACTTACTTTTGTTTGTATTTAATTTTACTTTTTAAGAAATTTAAACAATATTCATATATAGGTATTCGAAATAAATTATTTGCTTTAAAGAAAAATGATTCCTTTTGAAAGAAAATAAAAAACACAAAGTTATCAGCTAAACAGATTTTTGCTGTCACAAGATATTGCAAGAAACAAACAGGAAATTTTTCTACGTCAAGGCTGCTGACTGTACGGAAACTGTACTGTTTTACTAAATGCTAACGGCTCAATTTAATCAGAAAAAGAAGTTCAATTTTAAAATTTTTTCGTAATGGAAAAGAAATTCATAGAATTAGTGAAACAAAATAGATTTTTATACGATAGGCAGGAAAAAAATTATGGGAATGTAACATTGAAACAACAGAAATGGAAAGAAATAGCTGATGAATTAGAGTATCCAGGTTTGTATATAGTTCATATATTAATTCTATTTCAATAAATTTATATCTTAGAAATTTATATGTATATTTACCAATAGTTGAAAGAATAAAACAAAGATGGTTCAGTTTGCGCGATTGTTATCGAAAAGAAAGAAGAAAAATGAGCAGAGATGATGGATACAAAAGTTCTTGGAAACATTTTCATTATATGAATTTTTTAGATGATATTCCTAAAAGGAATATAAAGTTCGTATACCCAAACAAACGTTAATATAATAAAATTTTTTTGTAAATATTGCCAAAAAAGAAATTCAAATTTCTCTAAAATTTTAGTGATTGGTCTTTTAAGTCAAAGGATGAAGAAAGAATATCTGATTTTGAAACATTTTGTATAAATGAAGATGATACAACTTGTTTAGATAATAAAGAAAAGGATTATTGTTCAGAAACAAAACCGCAGTATCACAAAAATGAATCTTGTGATGGTGAAAATGATTTTTACGAAGTATATCTTGAAGAAGTTCCCAAAAGAACAAAAAATATTACTGAAGTTAAACCGGTAAAGTCTATCAAATCAAACTCTGATAAACGAGATTGCAATAGCGAAGATGGTGATAAATTATTTAGTCAGATGGTAGCTTCATCTTTAAGTTCATTATCTCGCCTGAATAGTATAAAGGCAAAAACCGAAATATTTTGTATCTTAGAGAAATATGTTGAAAATTAGGCGAATGGTAATTAATAAATAGATAGAATGTAAATATGTATGCATGAAAATTTTTGTATGTTGAAAAATTATAAGAAATCACTATTTTATTCAAAATAAATGCAATTCTAAAACATAAATATTATTCTTCGATATGAAAGCAATTTAAATTAAGAACATTTTTAAGGATATTTTTTCACTGCAATAATTATTGATACACTTCAAATTACAGTTCCAGTTTTATCTTTTTATTATTTGTAAAAAATTTTAATATATAATGGTAAGTTAATGAAGTCGATGATTTTAAGATTTACATTTTTGATTGCTGTTGGCTTGATTATCATAATTTTGTAATTCAAAATTTTCGCACCAATGAAATGTAGTAGAAATGACGGAATAGTAAACCACAATTGCGATATGCATACATAATGCCGCATGTAGCAAAATTGAAAATGAGAATAACGGTTTGAAGAATGAAGTAAGGGAGCGTCAATTTTTAAAAAATTTTCCATAAAAATTTATTTCTGCATTAAAAATGGTCGCGATTGAGTGCTTTTATTAATTTAGTTTTTTGAAATATTCAAAATTGTTGCAATTGTTTTTTAAAAAAGATTCTATAATATATTGTTATCTCCATGCTTATTTAAAAATTTAATTTATTACAATATTTTAAATCTAAAAATATTTGAAATTTGCAAAAAAGTCAAAGCACGTCCATTTTGAAATTATTAAGTGGTTTTTAATTTTTAAAATCAAATAAGAAAATTTTTAAAATCAAAAAGCGGAAAATAATTAATGGAGGATAGTTAGTGCAAGAGTAACTTAATAGAATAATAATAAAGCGTTTTTAATTTTCAAATTTGCTGTAAAAAACAGCTGAAAATATTTTGGAACATCGTTTTTTTTGGAAAATTGCTAGAACTAAATTTAATCCTTACATGTAACTGAGGTATGTAAGTACACAAGAAATATATTGTAATAGTACATTTTTTTGCTTAATATTTAAACTTTGTCATTGTACATACATATGTAGTATAGATATGTTAATACGTTATTTCTTTTATCCAAAATTATTATCTTGTGTCCTATGAGTAAAAAAGATAATGGTCAGGCATAAGCGACATTTTTTAGAAGAATAGATTTAATGGTAGATAAACTTTGCGTTACTTACATGTATGACTTAATTTAACCTTACATTTCTTTGCAGTATTATTTTTAAGTTCCATGATGCTGTACTGTCCTAGTGTATTTCAATTTAATTCAAAAATTTATGATTAAGTTGATTAAGTATTTCTAATAAAATATGAATCAAATTTCAGAATTGTATTATTGCAATATATCTTGTTTTCGGAAGCAAATTTATATTTGCCATATTATGTAACTATATAGATACATACCGTATCTTCAGAATTCCAGTATCTAACACAGTACTAAGTACATAATTCATAATTGTGTTTCAATACCATACTATTCTAATTTTAGATACCATTACCAGTTTTTAGACACCATTTGTGTTATACTATAATTATTTGAATGCTTATTAAGTTATTGTTCGCATTATGTATTCGCTTAAATAAACAAATACATACATATGTTACAATTCATTTGCATAATTTCCAAAATTATAAAAAATTTCTTGTCAATAAAATTTAAAAATTCAAATGCTTTTTTAACTCCTACATTTTTATAAGAAACAAATATACAGCTAGCTTATTATACATTATTTGTAAGCCATTAAATTTTAATATTTTGTAAAATTGTATCTTTTTTTTTTTGCAAATATAATGTTATGCATAAAAGACATGAACTTTATTGAATAAGATTCCGCATTTGTACTGTAAAAGTATAAGCGCATCAATGGCCTTTAATATGTTTTACTTTAGTTGATTTCTTTTTATAGTAATTACACACACACATATTTTTTTTTATTATTCATTTTAAATTTTAATATTTTAAAAATCGCTTTTTTTTTTTTTCTGTTTTATTATCGGATATGAATATAAATTTAAAGATTAATCTTTTACATTTTTATTAATTTTTTTTTTACAATATAAGAGGTCATTAATTTTTTTTGATTGATTGTCTAGATAATGTTATCAAAAAATTTATTAAATATTTTTTTTTTCATATATGAATGTTAAATATTTTTGGAAATCGTTGAATTCTTATAGATAAAAATTATATAATATTTTTACAAATTTGTATATTTAAGACTTTATTTTAATTATGTATGACCATGTAAAAAAATGTTTGGGAATTCTTAAATTATGAAAAACTATAATTACTTATAGTAATTATGATTTTTAAATTGAAATCTAAAATAAATTGGATTTACTATATGATTAATAAATCAATCAAATTACATTAAATGGGTACAGAACTTTTGTTCCCGTTGTACATATAAATATAATATGTGCATAATGTGTGTGAAATAGTTGAATGGGTCAAATTATTCGTTTAAAAGTCTTCTATTAAATATTAACTTTTGCATTTTTGCAAAAATAAATTTCATTCAAAAAGATGCAAAAGGTAAATGGATCCGTTGTTGTGTCTTGGTGAACATGCTTACACAATTACATGTTGCTTACACAGCTATACATTTACAATCTTCGTAGTGAAAATGTTTGCTAAATTACATCAATCAGCGGTTAATTACACTTGATACTGCATGCCGCTTAACTAAGCAAAAAAGTTGTAAAATTTTTGCGTTCTTATTTAAATACACACGTACGTTTTCTTGGTACTGATTTGAACTTGCTTCTTTTGGACCTAGAATTAAAATTTTAATTTAGATAAGACTGATTTGAAAATAATTGTATTTAATTTAAGAAATTATAGTGGCATTTCATTTTGCAAATCAAATTTTATTTATAATTTGCAATTTTAAAGCTAAATTCTTATATTCAACATAGAATTCTGTACAATCCTCATATTATAGAGATTTTTTTGTTTTCTTTGAAAAAATTCATGTCATTTGTAAAATAAATATTCATTTGTATATAAAAAAACTTATAGCTCAGATTATTTCTAATGAAGTATACATTTTAAAAAAAAATTAAAATGTAATATAATATGTAAACTCTGTACGAGTTAGTAAATACCGCAGTTTATTTTGAGTATTTTTTCGCAATGAATAAGAATCCAGTTAAATTATAGCTTTGAAAGTTGTAAATTTACTGCTTTACAGTTTGTATAATAATATTTTGGTTAATTTCCTTGAAAAGGGAATCAAACTAGTAATAATGAATAAAAACATGTGTTAATAAATTTAATAGCTAGTTGTAAAATTTAATTACATTTTAAAATTTAATTAATCGAAAACAAATATTTTTACTAGAAATCGTTTAAATGTTTAATTTTAATACAATTTAATTTAAATCAATTAATTTATCTTTTCGATTCATCACAATAAAATCTATTTGTTCGTGATCAATTTTAATCATTACTTTTGTTGACCGTAATTAAAGGACAACAATTCTTGAATTGAAAGAACATGTGAACCTAGCCTTGAAATATATAGTATACCTATATAGAGTTTTTGGTATATTTAATTAGGGGTTGATTAAATTGGTAAAAATTTTTTTTTTTAAAACTTTAATAAAATTTTATTATAGATAATTCCGAAATCGATTACCCATAATATAAACATACTGGAATTGGAATGTTGTGTTACACCTTGAAACATTTTTTTTTAATGTAATCCGGTTAAATTAATTAAATACCTTGATTAATTACTAAAACAAAAACTCATTATTTCCTTATTCTTGTTTCTTTATAAAGAAGACACTATATAATAATATTATTTTTTTTGTTTATTTTGAAATTACTTTTACGTTTAATTTTATAAAATTATAGAGCAAGGAAATAAAAAACATGATGTTAAGGAATTTTTACTTAAAAATAAAATAACATAAGTTTATGGCATCTATATAAATACGCAGCATAATATATAAAATACAAAATGGTATATAGGTGGTACTTAAATTATTTTTAAAACATACTTATTTGGTGTTGGTAATAATCACTTTATTTAAAAATGTGATACATTTTAATTGAACGCCTAAAGTCGTGATTTATTTCTTTTTTTATTTTTTGTATTTAATTTGTTTTTATTGAAGAAATCATAATTAAAATGAAACTTGGAGAATTTAAAAGAATATAAGTTGTGTGGTTGTATTAACATAAAATTAAATAGTAAAAATTTTGGTTTCTATTAAAATTAAATTTAATTAGAATAAATTAAATTAACAAATATTGTAATTATTTTGCTAAAATTTTATTATTCTGAATAAATTTTATGAATGTGTAAGCCACCGGTATTTAATAACTTATACTTAAAAATTAAGTTTCTTGTTTGTAAAAAAAATTGAGGTTCTAATTCCTGTAATTTAATAACAATTTCAATATTTTAATAAAATTATGTTAAAGTACTATATTTAAAACAAATTAAATTATAATCTCTCGTGTATTCAAACTTCCTACTCGATCATATTTTAATTATTTAAAATACCTTTTATCAACATAATATATTATTGCACTTTAAATATTAATTTAGAATATTGCGTTTTAAGAAATTATTGTATAAAGTGATAAAATAGTAAGTGCGTACTATGGCTTTAATATTACATATAACACATGTCGAAAAATACGAGAAAGTAGCTCAAAAAGATTATAAAATAATGGCGAATTTGTGCATGTTCCAGCAGAAGTTACAGATAATTTTTTTTAATATACTTAATTACTAAATACATAATTTTTGCGAATTTTATAAATATCAGTATATTTATCATGTTAATACTAATGTATTTATAAAATTGAAAAATTGTAAATTTGACAAAATTGTTCCAAATTATGGTGATAATTAATGGTGATTATTAGGTTTGTGTCTTCACTAAAACTTCAGTATGAAATCAACGGTGACGGAAAATAAATAATATTTTATGCTCGCAAATCGTAATGTTCATCAAGTTTGTATTTAATTTTTAGTATTTTCGAAGAGTGTTTGTACGAAGTTCGAGAATCAAGTATGATAAAGGTTGGAGTATGATCTTTATGTAAAATAAATGTTCATCAATATTCACAAAAATTCAATCAAAGTACAAAAATATTCAGGATCTAAAGTAATGTG